AATCTTGACATTTACAATGATATGGATGGAACTAGAGGATATTATGCAAAGCAAAATAACTCAATCAGAGAAAGACAATTATCATATGATCTCACTCATGTGTGGAATTCAAGAAACAAAAGCAGAGGATCATAGGGGAAGGGAGGGAAAAATAAATCAAGATGAAATCAGAGAGGGAGAAAAACCATAAGAGACACTTAACCATAGGAAACAAACTGAGGGTTGCTGGAGGGGAGGGGGGTGGGGGCATGGGGTAACTGGGTGATGGACATTAAGGGGGTCACATGATGTAATGAGCACCAGGTGTTACATAAGACTGTTGAATCACTGACATCTACCTCCGAAATTAATAATACACTATATGTTAATTAATTGAATTTAAATTAAAACAATAAATCTTCATCCAGTAGTGAATATAAAAACACATATGCTCAAAAAAAAAACAAAACACATATGCTCTCATTTAAAGAGATGAAGAAAGAAAAGAGGAAGGGATAGGAGTGAGAATGGAAACAGTGGGTGAGAAAAGGGAGAGACGGGGGAAAAAGTTCATGCCTTCGATGTTCCTGTGCTGCCATCATGTTCCCCAAACTGGGTATCCCCCCCAGGTGGTATTTAATATGTACAAAAATGATAACAATAACATCCACAAATTAGTGTGATTATTAATAATAATAAATGGAATTATGATGCTGATGATAAATTTACTCAACGCTCATACTGTGACAGGCTTTGAGTAAGTACAATTTTGTGGGTTATTTCCTTAATTCCTAATAATTTTGTGGAGATTCTGCAATTTTATCCTTGTTACGGAAAACAAAAAAAGAATTTGGATAAATAAAGCCCCCAAGGAGTCCACAGATAGCAAATCGTAGAAAGGAATTTAAATTGGACTCTGACCCCAGTGGTATCTCAACCACTTCCTACCTTAACTAAACTGTAATCTGTCTTCCTAAATCTAAATTGTTGGAATTTAGCCATCTGGGAAGGGGCAACAAAAAAAGCACTTGATCTGAGGATATCACAGCAGAGCTATACATCGGATCTAAAGCTCTTCTGTATTTTTTTAGGTCTGTCACCTTTCAAATAAGCTTTTCTTCTTTTCTTTTCTTCTTTTCTTTTCTTCATGAATGAAGTCAGGAAGGGTTACTCATATAGAAGAATGCTTTCTGATACTGGTCCTCTCAGATGTATAAGGACAAAAAGTAGGTCAAAACACTAAATTTAGGGTTTTGGGAAAACATGAAAATTATAAAATTGATTTGGGAAGCTTTTCCTTACATTACAGAGCCAAGGTTTTGAAGTCAGATGAAAGTGAGACCTAATGCAAGTCTCACCTTTCCTAAGCATTATATAATTGTGGCCAGTTAGGATCAGTTTTTGTATCTGTAAGGAATTACAATTATTTATAGAAGTAGCTTTAATAGAGTATCCTATTGCCTCCATTGGGACTCATTCTCAGATTGAGCTAAGAATTCCACATTGCCAAAATCTTTAAGAGTTTTATAATCACAACACGTTTGAGGATTATAATAGAAAACAGAAGAAAAACAAGGCTAAGATTTTTTTTTTAATCTGATACCATCAAGAGATCGAAACTCTCAATTCTAAAATGCTTTTCCCTCAAGTTAGATGGGAGGGGCATAACTGAAGAATGCTAGAAAATATTTGTCTTCAAAGAAGTTACAGGCAGCTTTGACAAAACAAATTTAAAAAAAAAAAAAATCCAGCAGCTCAACAAAACTCCTCCTGTCCCCTTCCCATGTCTTTCTCTACAAAATCTGTGACTTAAGAAGCATGTGAAAATCATTCCAAAAAGCACAGGGCACATTTGGTTCTCTAAACTAACAATAGAAAGACTTAAGGGCTTACAATGAAAAGATTTTATAGAAGTTTTAGATATTTTACTTTTCATGAATGAGCAGAAGAGAAGGTCTGATATACCCCCAAACAACCTTCGATTTATCACATTTTCTAATGACTCTGTGAGCTAACCTAATTACTCTTTCTCCAGCTAATGCATCTTAGTAGAGCACTTTCCCTGTTTGCATAATGCTGGTGGAGACCAAGGCCACTTACCCACTGTTGATGTCATCAGCCCTGAGACTTTTCCCAAGGATATCACCGTCACTCATATATCCACCAACGTCAACTTCAGAAGACATGTCCAGGTCACTGCTTGCTTTCTCACTCATGTCAATTTGGGAAATATTTCCCAGTCGAGAGACAGCTGCTCGACGGAGAGGCGTTGTGTACATGAACCTCGAGGGGTCTGTGTGGATGAATCGGCTGGTACCACTGCGGGGGTAGGCAGCCCCCAGAGAGGGAGCATCTCCAGCCTGAAGTCGAGGACACGCCTGACCCAACCTCCAGGTCATGGGAGTGGGTCGGCTTGTCAAGTTGGGTATGGTCCTTCCATTAACTTCTGTTGTCACAGTGCTGTCAAATGTTGTCTCCAGGGTGCTGGCAAACAAATGAAGAAAGACCTATACTCGGATTGACTTGGGATCATAGAGCAAGAATACATGAAGACCGGAAAGGCTAGGGCTGAGTCATTTCTTAGAAGTATGTCATTTTCATGAAAGTCAAATTATGCTTTCATGATGAGATGCAAGACACCTCTGCAGATGTCAAAATGTGGGATGGGGCATTCATCTGAAGTTTGTCGTTTTGCTGTTTTGCTTTCGAAAGAAAGGCCATTGTCTCATTTTAGATAAAGCAAAATTGTGTTTCACAGTTTCAACAAACCCTTCACCTAACTCCAAAGGCTCCCCAGAACTACTCTGGAGGGTTGGGTACAATTATGTTTCAGAGTCTCTCTATACACCCCAACCCCCAGTCCTGCCCCAGGTGCATTTCAACTGTAACTTCTGCCCACTGTTGTTTGTCACGGGCGTGCAAATCTACCTGGTAGTGATGCGGGTAGTTTCAGGAGCTAATTCAGTTTGAAAGGGACACTCTATGAAAGAAGAGATGGATGGGAGAAAAAAGGTATGTGCTAAGAAGTCGCCAGCTGAATGTCATGTAAAATTTAAGTGAGAAAATAGTAAGGGAAAATTAATTTTTTCTTTATCCTTATAAGAGGTTAAGTGCTTGGTTGTCATTTTTTTCTTTATTAGCCCAAAGATATATAGAATTGAGGAAAAAAAAAAACAAAAAACCTGTGGCTTATCTGGGTCCCACGAAGACTGGACATAGTCTCCTCTAAATTTTGCCTCAAATCTGCTATGTTTTTAACTGTTCTCATTCTCCTTGTTTCAGGGTCTTCACCTAGAAAAGTAACATAATAATATATTTGTCAATCAAGTAATTTACTGGTCTCAGAATAATTGTATACATAGATAAGTAATATAAATTCTTCTCCTTAAAAATACAATAATAGGAAATTCCAAATGCCTACTATCTGAAAAGCATAATTCTTCTTTCTACATTCACATTCAATAAAATGTGAATAGAAACAAATATAACATTACAAGTAATAATTGATCAGGAGTGATAATAGTACAATAATACTTTGTAGGTCCATGACCTTAATCATTGCAAGGAGACAGTGATTAATTCAGAAATATACTATACAGTACTCCATATTACTGAGCTTAATTTAAAAGTCTGAAATTATTTGGGTCCTAATTAATCTCATAATTACCTATTTCTAGGTCTAATCAGAATAGTAAGATAAACTTACCTTGCAGCAATTACACATTTGGACTCTGGGGAATAAGATAGAAGCCTTTTCTTATAGAAGCAATACCTTTGTAAGTCTTCTATTAACACTGGATGGCTTTATTTTTAACTATTTTCCACTTTCTACAGGGACTCACAGCATCCCCCTGTGACACTGAAGTTCCAGTAAAGTCTCTAGCATCTGAACCCGGCATGTGTTTAATAGACATGAAACCAGCAGCTTTGCCAGTGTGGCAAATGCTGGCCTTGCTCAACCACTACCTATCATTTGGAGGCAGAGGTTCCATTAAACCAGGTTGATTATGGATGTGTAATACTTCCAAGCCAGTGGCCATTTGAAACTGGTCTATCTGGATACTGAGAAGAACATGGGGAGACAGTAGAGGAAGTACAAGAAAATTTAATAAGAAAGAAAGATGGAGGAGGAGGGCGTCTGGGTGGCTCAGTTGGTTAAGCGACTGCCTTCAGCTCAGGTCATGATCCTGGAGTCCCAGGATCAAGTCCTGCATCAGGCTCCCTGCTCAGCGGGGAGTCTGCTTCTCCCTCTGACCCTCCCCCCGCCCATGCTCTATCTCATTCTCTCTCAAATAAATAAATAAAATCTTTAAAAAAAAAAAAAAGAAAGAAAGATGAAGGAGGAAAGGAAGGGAGGGAAGAAGGGAGGTAGGGGGAATGGATGGGTTAAGGGGGGAGAAGGTATGAGAAAGAGAGGGGAAAAGAAGAAGGCAAAGGAAGGGGATGGTGGGAAAAGAGAAGGGAATGGAAGGAAAGGAAAAACAGCAGGGGAAAGTGAAGGTAGGAAATAGCATGTATTAAACTCCTGTATGAAAATGGTCGCACAGTCAAGTCAAGATGCATCCCCACAGTCTGTTTCTAGAATATCGGTAGATATTTAACGTGTTCATTCTCTTCCACAGAATTCATGCCAGATTAAAAAAATATATACAGCAAATATATACCCACGTAACATGTATAATATAATCATAGAGTTGGTAGGGATTTCAAAGAATGTCTCGCCTTACCTCTCAGCCAGTGAGGAAACTCATCTATGCCTCACTTGGGAGACAGCCATGTGCCTCTGCCTGAAACCTCTAAGGTTGGAGATGCATCCTCTCCAGGAAGGCATGACTCCTTCTACCAGTGGACAGGTCTAGTTGTGAAAACATTTCTGAGGATGAATCATTTGCTTCCCTTTCATTTCCATCCAGTGGTCCTAGGAGCTGTGGAAGGTAACTGAACAACTCTATACTACCTTCACCACGACCCCCAGAGACTGAAAGACACCAACTGCCCATTCCTCTATTTTCTTCTTCAGCCACACATCACCACATTGTTCATTCTTCCTCATCCCGGACAGTTGCCAAAACAACCACCATTCTGCTGCTGGTCTGTAAATCTCTACTTTTTAACTGACAAAATATTTGAACGATTAAAATATGCTTAACAGTAGCATTACTACTTCAAACTTAGAAAGTATAAAAAAAAGTCCTTAATATATTGTCAAGATAGAAAAATAGGTGTTGTACCCTCACGCACATGGCATAAACTTTTCCTACACTAATTCAAGGCATGAAATCCTTAACCTTATAAATTAACATCACTTTAAAATTCAGAACTGTTAATAACCCTTGAGATTCTAATTATAATCTCTCCGGAACGTCTTCTCATCCTTCTCATAAATAGAGCATATTTGAGAAATGGCTAGGAAGAAGTCTACTTTTTACTTCCAAGTAATCTGGTAAAAGCCTGAAGATAAAGAAGGAGTATGTAAGGAAAATCTTAAAGGGCAGAATATCACTGCAGCCGAAGGAAAAGCAGAGGTAATTGGAGAGATTTCACTCCAAGTGGCCAAAAGAAATAGTGAAGAATGAGACAAAATTGGAGAAGCCAATATCAGAATATAAGATTTCATACAGTAACAAGCCTAAGTTTCTAAGTGATGGTAAGAATTGACAAGTCTTAAAGGAGGGAAGAATTGAGACGACCTTTACTGGAGGGAAGAGGGAATATAGTTATTGACCTTACACAAGGTCAAAGAATATACCATTACATGTCCCCTGTCCCTGGCTCCCTTCCCTCTGTGAGAACTCTTACACTGTAATCAAGTTGCATCTCAACCACTTAACTGCCATAATATTAATAGCATTGATATTTGAATTATTTTCAACACTTTCTTAATATAAATTATAAGAACACTGTATTTTCAGAAATTCCATTTCACTAAATTTTTTTTCACATCTTTATCTTTTAAATGTCCTTCTTCTGGGGTTCCTGGGTGACTCAGGTGGTTAAGCATCGGACTCTTGGTTTCGGCTCAGGTCGTGATCTCATAGGTTGTGGGATCGGGCCCCACACAGAGCCTAGAGCCCAAGTCAGGCTCCCCAGTCAGCACTGAGTCTGCTTGAAGATTCTCTCCCCCTGATCCTGCCCCTCTCTCAAATACATAAATATATCTAAATAAATAAATAAATAAATAAATAAATATCCTTCTTCCAATCCAACAGGCATCTTAGATCCTTGGTTTTTCCAACTGCACCCATTTTTGTTCTCTCATATTTCAGAACCACAATCCTTTCCTCCTTTGGTTTATTCACTCATATGGCACTGCACTGTTCATGACAATCAAACAGATCTTTTCCTCCCAGTCCTTATTGAGCAAAACATAATTGCTGTCTCATTCATGTTATGGAAGATAACAACCAAGTCAAAATTTATTGCAGTGAATGTTTTCAATGACCCACAAAAGTCAAAATACCAATAAATACACTTACAAACCCCTTTAGGATTACACAAATCTGAAACATCCTAAAAATTTATATCCAAATGATATCTAGAAGATTGGGGGAGGGAAGGGAGTCTCAACTGAAAAGGCCAAATGTAAAAGCACAAGTAAAATGACATATTTAGTAACATAAAAGTTAGTAACATAAAAAAATACATATGATAAATTCATTTAGTCACAAAAGTGTTGTATCTCCTCTCACTTCCCTAATCTCAAAGCCACTGAGGCTCAGTTGAGACCGGCTCTTTGCCCCACTTAAAGAGGACATTTTATAAGCAATGAGAAAGCAGTTTGCAACCATGTTAAAAATTCAAAGTGAATTCTAGAATATACCATTTTGGAAAATGTGTGCAAGCCCTTACCATCCTGTCTGACACTCAGGAGGTTTCCTTCAGGAAAAATAATGGCTTCTACATTTTTGCTTAGGGGTATATGGGCCACTTAATCTGTGTGGTCCTGCTCTTACTTTTTAGGCTTTAAATATATACATTGTAATTAACATTGCCAGCACTGTCATCTTTTAATAGGAAGTCAAATTATGTATGAATGAACCTGATTCACAGGGAATTATGTCCTCTACACCACCTATTTTGCAAATATTATTTAGAGTCCAGCTGCCTGATTTATTTTGAGAACCCTAATTTTATAGATGACCCCAACACTGATTTGGATGGAAATTTTTCAAATCCTCTTAAGTCAGATACTTTGGGCAGAAAATAGCCAAAACATGGCCAATTACCTTTTAAATATTCTCCTATATAGTTATAGCACAGACCCTAGTCTGATCTATTAGGATGCTTAAGATTAAGGAGTTGAACTCAAGGAACCCTGCCTAAAAATTAACTTGGAAGAGGCCATTTTGAGTCGGAAACAGAACCTAGTCAAGCACGTGGCAGAAATCCTGAAATTCCTGTGTGCTCTGGGCTTGGATATATTTACCAACTTAACATGCAACATTATTTAAGAAACTGCATTGGAGTGCTTCATTATCCTGATATGATTATTCATGTCACAACTATTTGAAGAAATTATTCCTTACTTTCTCACTTGCATTTTTGAATATTGGCATAAGTTGGAGTGGGGGAAGCCTTAAAAAGAATAATCCCATAAATATAATAAGCAGATGCTCAGTTTAAAAACCATGGAATATACAGACTTCTATTGAGAGATTACCCTCTGACAGCAATGCTCCAAGTTATTTATGCACAAAAAGGCATATGTCATCAACACACCCACATACAGCATGGTATAATTTAACAGAGCAACCATCAGATATTGCCCGGGGACTGCTCTCTGTTCATATCTTTGAGAATACTTATATATAAGGTACTTAGAACAAGATAAATGCTACTACTTTAAAGGCAAAAGATGAATATTATTTGATTCTGCAGTTTCAGAGGATCAAAAAAATAAAAAGATCCTTAAGGAGTAAGACTCCCTCTCATGCTTTTGTACTGCATAGAAGTCTTTCATGAGAAACAGTTCATCACAGAAATCATACAATGGTGAAGAAGTAAATCTTCTATGTCTGAGCACCTGGTGTATTCAGATTCAGATTCAGAAATCACTATTCCCACACCGTGGAAACATGACTCTTTTAAAGCCAAACTGACATGAAAAATTGAGCAATATTTGCCTCTGCTGTCTCTCTAAGCTTTCTTCTTCTAAAGCTGGTTCACTAAGATTCCAGAAAGCCTCATCAAGCATCTGGTAACAGGAGGGCTTACACAGAGAATAAAAACACATCTACATTTAGCATCAGTTGTATGAACCAGAAACAAAGAGATCACTGGTCAGGTTTAATTCTTTCCAATATGGGGAGTCTTACAGGAAGTTTTCTTGTAAACACACATCTAAGCAACATATGATGTGGTCAATGGTTTAAAACTTAAGGATTTTTGAAGAAGGGACTGTGTGATGTAAATGCACTTTGGCAGAACACTCAATGAAACATAACAACTAAAATGGACACAGTTTGGCTATTTAGGCAGGCCCCAAAGTTGAAACTGAAACAAAATAGAATTACTTCAGATATCTTCATATCTTGTTAAAGATTATGTCAGAAGTTATCCCTGAGACTTATGTCATCAAAAAGGCCTACTTTGTAAAGTATAAAAATAGTTCACAGTCATTGACACAGTAGTTTAAATAGTTACAATGTACACACTCAGGATAATTTTTTGCCAAACACCAAAAAAAAAAAAAAAAAAAAAGCAATGTGTGAGTAAAGCCGTCAAAAGATGCCTCTGCATTTCTGGAAATGTTACTAGCATGCATGGTGTTTGTCACTGATGTACAAATGAGGGCCATCTATTTGGATACCACTGAGGCAGCAGAAGAAACTGACTATACAAAAAATTTACCCAAGAGGCCCTTCATTGTTCATTCCATATTGGTGGGGAGGTCACCTTGAGGGAAATTCAATAAATAGGTCCCGTTAATTACTAAGTAACAAACATGTTTGCAATCTTAAAACGTTAACACTCCTTTACGGATGTCTAGAATGTCCTGGATACCAGGCCAATAATGCCTAGGGCAGATTACTGCTATTTATTTTCTCCACATAGACTTTACGACTGGTTGTCAAAGTTCAGCTTTACAAAGAAAATAATGGCAACAAGTAATTAAAAAAATTTTTTTTGAGTCACTGGAGTTTTAAAAATCCAGTTGGGAGAATGGAAGCTATTTAGCTAATGCAAATGGACAGCTTCTTAAAATCCCATCCTCCTTTTGGGAACAAATCTGACTTACCTAACAAGTCAGTGTAAAGTGCCTGTTCCAGGTCTCCCAGCATTGTGAGGATCACATCCTCATCCAGATGAGCTGTGCCTTCCCGCAGGCAGCTTTCTCCCTCCTCCTCAGCCCAGCTCCTGCTGATGCTGCTTTGCCTGGAGGACACGTTTTCATCTTCGGACCTGCTCTCTTCATCACTCTCGCCTTCCAAGCCTTTTCTGGAAGACCAGTCCTCTAAGCCCTCACTGCCTGACTGGCTGGGAGGCAGGAGGTTCCAGGCGCCCGGGCCACCGGGGTGGTACAGGGACTGCACGGAGCGCGAGAGAAATCGGGACAGCGAACGCCTCTCTGCATAGTCCGATTCTCTCTGGCTGGCCTTTGCAGCATTTCCAAACCAGTTGGAAATGCGCACAGTGGGTCTCCTCTCCCCCTCGCCGGTGAGGGAAAGATTGGTCAGAGACTTTTGTTTCTGAAGGCAGGCTCCCTTTCTCCTTACTTCTTTGCTCCGAAACACAGAGAGTTCAGCCGGTCGCTGCATGGCTCTTGCAGGGGCTTCTTCTTTTCAACTGGACTTCATATTGTCTTTTTACAAAGACAGAGCAAGGGGCCCTTTTGGTTTTAATTAACACATGCACTTCACTAAAAGCCCCAACAGGCGCCAACATTCACGTAAGACTCTAGAGCGACGGTACGATTAATCAGTTGCCCACAATTGAGCTTGCCACATTCTCTCTCTAATCAGCAGTACTTACAAGTATTTTGCTTGAGTATATCTGAAGCAGAAAAGAGTTCACCAAAGACACTGCTCCAGCTGAAAGTAGCACGGGAAGCCAACTACGTTTTCCAGTCTTCATCCAATCACATGTCTCAGCAGGATGATGGGTCCACATCTCCCTCTATCACTTCTGTGTTCCCAAATGCGAGGTAGTGAGGCACCAGTGATCTCTCTCATGGCTTTCTTTCTTTCTTTTTTTTTTTTTTTCCTACCTCTCACCAGCCCTTCACTGATCTAGGTCTGCAGCCCTTGACTCGAGATGAGCTGACACAGTGCAGCACATACAGCCTCTGCATCCGAGCCCCCTAAGAGCAGAAATTGAGCACTGAAGCCCGGGGCTGCACGAGCGGCTGGTGTTTTAGTATTCCTCCTGCATTCTCAGATCTATGGCCCTTCCTTGCTGCTGCAGTGGATGCTGCTGGCTGCCATGGCAGCAAACATCCTGCTAAATTAAAACAGAAGCGCTGAAGCGGCTGTCCAGCCTAGAATGCCACAGGTTTCAAAGCCAAGCCTGAAGGAGATGCTACACTATTAACCCTATGCACATTTAAATCACTCCTGGCTACCCAGCCCCAGACACGGACACACACACACATACACACACACACACACACTCACACGTTCTCCGACTCAGAGAATGACGGACTAATTCTCAATAGCAGCAGGCAGTTGAAGCAGGCAAATCTGCCTTCTGAATGTTGGGATTTGTGCTGTAAAAGCACAAATCAAATTCAAGAGTGTAAAGGACCTGAAAAACGTAGCATGACACTCTCCACTGGCTGGCAGATAATGCTTTAAAGGGAAAGACTTCACCTCATCTTTCAAGGGCTTGTTATTCTGAAGCTATTTAGTAAAATCCTAACATGACAATAAAAATCAAGACTTCTTCCTATAAAAGTTAGCAAAGAAAATAAGAGGATTTTCCCCAATATTTGCACTCAAAGCATATAACTAAAAGTTGATGGCCAAGTATGGAGAAAATAATGATGTGACAAAAAATATAAAAGGCACATTATGTTTTTTGATACTGAGCATTTCTTCTGGTCTAGTCCATAAACCTATTACAGCAGCAACAGCTCTTTGTTTTTTAATATTTTAATAAAAACAGAAAATGTATTATATTTATCTTGTACTGGTTGTGTATATTCACCAGCACCCCGAAATTCTAATTTTAGGAAAACTTTTTTTTTTTAAGATTTTATTTATTTATTTGACAGAGAGAGACACAGCGAGAGCGGGAACACAAGCAGCGGGAGTGGGAGAGGGAGAAGCAGGCTTCCCGCTGAGCCAGGAGCCCGATGACATGGGGCTCCATCCCAAGGACCCTGGGACCGTGACCTGAGCTGAAGGCAGATGCTTAATGACTGACCCACCCGGGCGCCTAGGAAAACTTTTAAAATACTTATTAGGTCTAGTAGGGACCATGTGTACCATTTAGAGCTAAGTATTAAAAAAATTTGTTTGAGGTATTCTGTCCATAAACATTCCATATGAAAAGGAGGAAAGTGGAGAAATACATAGAAATATTTGTGCCATTCCAACTGATGAGTCCCTATCATTTTCTGAACTAATATGATCAAATTACCTCTGAGTTTTCACTTCATATTGCCTACCTCAACTAGGGGAAATGCTCAATTTCTTAACTATATAATTAGCATTATAATATACACTGTCTATACCTTTACATATGATAATAACCTACTTTGCAAAGCTAATTAATTCTTATGCCCAGCCTTAAGGCAGATCATACCTAGATCTGTTTCACACACATATATATAAGGGAATTAAATGAAAAGCAATTTTCTACAATTATTTGTAGAAAAGAAACTGCAATTAAGCAAACAAATAAACCTGTGAATGTGAATACTGATTCTCAATTCTTGGGTCTTTAAAAATAAATTTCTTATATAAAATGTGCTTAAATGAGGGTACAAATGTCAAATCAAAGAAAGTGATGATTATCCTTATAAAAACATCATTTTACAAAGTATTTTTTAAAAGATCAAAATGCCACTCCCCTCTGGATTCCTAAGCAATACATTTCTTTTTCTTTATTTGGAATTATTGTGACCCCGTGAATCACCAGGTTATGAGACTATAGTAAATTTACTGACGCTGTAAAACTTTAATTTGTCTGACATGTATTACACCAAAGTACATATGTAGTGTACTCTTGAGTCTCACAGATTCACAAAAAAGGGAATTCTTATGCTTTAGACATCAAAATAAGTGAAAGCAATGATCATGCCCTCTTCTTATACAAAGGAGCTTGTGAACCAATCAGCTTAAACCAGTGGTTAAACTTTAATGTTCAGAACTCTGGGAGGACTCATTAAGTTATAGCTTGCTGGGCCCCAGCCCCATCCCTACTCATTTAGGAGGTCTGAAAGGGGCTTGAGACTTCACATTTCTAACATATTTCAGTGATGTAGACACTGCTGGTTCTGGATACTGATAACTACTAGGCTGAGACTAGTGTTTTTCAGCTGTGTTGAGGATGTTCAACTGGGTTAGGGGACATTCAGCAACATCAGGAAACATTTTCAGTTGTCACAGCTGGGGAGTGTGGTGCTTCTGACACCTAGTAGGTAGAGGTCAATGATGTTGATATACCCTCTACAGTGACAGGACAGGCCCCACAACAAAGAATTATGCAGACTACAATGTCAGTAGGGCCAAGGTGGAGAAATTCTGGCTTGGACTAAGTTATGTTGAATCTACAAATGTTTTAGAAATTCTAGTGGCTTACAAAACCAAAGATGCACTTTTGCTCACATTAATGTCCACTCTGTTGGCTGCAGCTCTGACCCAGGTACCCCTTATACTAAGACCCATACTAAAAGAGCAATACCAGTCTTCAGACATGTTGATATTATGACAGAGGGACAAGCAATGAGAGATCCAGGCACTGACTCTTAAAGCTTCTGCTCAGGAATGGCCCATGTCATTTTTCCACTCACATTTCATTGGTCAAATTAAATCACATGGTCCATCCTGATTCAGTAGATCAGGAAATATAATCCTCGAGTAGGGGTGGACCCAGGAAGGGGCTAATAAGGAAGAACTGGTTATTTTGAAGAAATAACCCTAACAGAAAACATCACAAGGGTATTTTTGTTTGTTTCTTTATCTAAACATATTGTTGTCAACTCGCAGCTACAATAGTTTTTCCCCTGGAACTATATCAGTATATCAGTTTACCCTGAACGACAGTGGGGAACCCATTTATTGCCTCTCTAGAGGCAGCCATACCTGCTTGCTTTGGATGTGCATTCATTTACAGGTATAATTATACTTATTTGTATTCACCCATATAAATGTATGTTATACAAGGTGAAGAAAGAAGCTTCAGTGCATAGGAGATGAATATACATAATCAATACTAAAAATGAGAATCACTAATTTTGCCAAGACTTAACATAAAGCATAGCTGCTACAATGTTCTAAAAAGGAATACTTTTCAGCTTTTTAGTAAACATAATTATAAAGTGGCTATTTAAGTAAGATATTGAAACTGATTTAAATTACCTGAGCTTGATTTTCTTAATCTTTCTAAACACTCAAGAAAAAGGCAACTTAAGTGATCATTTACAAGTCTTAAATACCATATATTGACCATTATTCAAGACAAAGTCTGGTAAGTCAGAAAAGAAAACACATGTAACCATTAGCTTATCCTTCCGCTTAATCTAAATTCTCACTTCTAAAATGATTCCCCAAATTCATTCAATTATGTTATTACTTTTTTACAAACGGCATGACAGCTTTGCTAATACTAAGTCATTCTGGCACTTTCAATGTTTTTCAGTTGAGTATAAATTCTAGATAAAGGTTAAAAAGTGCATTAAACAGTTGTTGTACATGTTGGTAAAAAGCCTTATGCACAAAAAAGGGCAAGTGTGAACCTATGTAAAAACAAACAAACAAAAAACAAAAAAATTATCCTAAAAACTTTCCTGAATGATTCCAGTGGACTAAAAAATAAAGCTCACTTTACATTTGGCAAGATCTCTTGGTACTTGATGAAAGGGATGGTCTCTGAGGCCAAATTCTTTCTGTCAGTGAATATAAGAATGAAACCCAAGCCAAAGCAGTAAAATCTGAACCATCGCTTTGGCCGGACTTATAGTATCGAGGTTGTGGCATGAATCTTAAAGGATAGGCAAGAAGCTCACTCACCCATTGCCACAAATTATTTAATATATTCTATCTGACTGTAATAATTAATGGAAGCCCTATTATTAGATTGGATAAATATCACTAACTCCCCCCCCACCAAGAAAATGCCTAATAATGGGAAACTTGGATGATACACACAAAGACTTCAGAGGGATAGAAGGTCACCAAATTGAAAGTCTTGAGTTTTCTCCAGTATGCCATTTTATTGTCATTCATTTCTGATATATTCCTTCACACCATAATTTAACTACATTTTAACTTCCATTACCATTTAATCACAAAGACAATGTTTTTTATAACTTCATGTGAATTACTATGTAGATGAAAGTGTAAAGAGCTAAGCTTCCTGGCTACCTTCATGAATCTCCCTAACAAACCTGCTTTTCAGTGTGAACCATTCAAGTTTACTCCTTAACAGTACCACAAATCTTTACATGTCACTCATCTTGCAGGTCATGCAATAGGGATGCTTTTCACACTGTTTAAGCATAAAAAGGGATTTTCCCTGGAAAACAAAACAGAAGAATGCAGGGAAGTGGGGGGGGGGATAATTTTAGGTATGGCTTGTTCACAGGGGCTCAGACATTTCCCACAATGACCTTGAGCTCATTCTCTCCTGCTCTCGGTTCTGTTTTCTTGGTGTTTGTTTCACTTGAGGGTGAAGGTAACTGCCAGCAACTCCAAGCTTCTTTTGATTAGCTTCAGGTCTAGTGGAAAAACCACGTCTCTCCACTAATAGTCTTAGGAAAAGTTCTGAGATTTATTCTCATTGGTTCTAACTAAACTGAATTGGGTCACATGTCCATTCCTGAGAGAGTCACTGTGGTCAAGGGAAAACGTTGTACTGATTTGATCTGCTTGGGTCAATTTCACTTGAACCACATAAGCAGCAATCGATAGGGCAATGGTTCCCCCCCAAAAAAAAAAAAAAAAAACAAAACTTAAGGTGCTATTACTATTAGCAGATGGTTGCAAGGGATGCTGGTCAGGCAAAGGTATACCAGGACATCAAGGTATATTTACTATGAAGCCACTGGTTCTTAAGATACAGAGCTTCCAACTAGCTAAGCTCTTCCCTAAAACACTACATGTAATTTTATATTTCTATTTTTCTATTATTTTCAGGCTCCCTCAAATAGCATAGGCTTCAAAATTCTCAAAACCTGGATCTTATCCTGCCAAGTCTAAATCCATCAGAGTTCTATATCATTAGGGCTACTTCTCTTGGAGAGCATGACAGAATTATTCCCCAGGGAGGCTCCTGCACCAACCGTAAACAGCAAGAGTTCAACAATAACAATAGCACTGAAATTTCTGGTTATAAAAAACCCAGTGAGCTGCCAAGACTCCAGTGAACTTAAGAAAAGTTGCCAGTTTTACAATAAAAAACAAATGAAACTAATGAGATAAGTAGAATTTTTTTTTTCAAATTGTTTTCACTGAAGTTGTTTCTTCCTGGAATATTA